AAAAAAATAAATAACCACCGAAACACGACAATCGCACACACAAAACACCTCAGCCAAAGAACATCTATGTAAAGAATGAAAGGTTCCACAGAACATAATGTAAACCAGTTTTCTATTACGTCGCTGGAAAGCGGAGGGAAAATTCACCAAGGAATTTGGTGACAGAACCTGGTGGTGAGAATTTCTCCCTCTGCGATGTGTATAGGAAATTGAGGAACATGGCGTTAAAAAGAAATGTTCTTTGACAAAATGTTTCTTTGACTTTTCGTAATAATTTAAACTCGGATTTTCGCACTTTTTTTTTTTGGCTCAAAATAACTAATCATTAATTAATTTACTTGTGCGAAAAAATGTTTTCTTTTTCTTTAAAGTTTAAAGAAATTTAAAACGATATTCGTTTTATGGGCTCTTGATAAATATGACCTTCGAACTTCAACGCCGGCTTGGAGCTTTGGCGACAGATATTTCTCGCATGCTGTTTCTTACGCAGTCGCCGCCCATGTTTCTGAGTGATGACATCATAGCTTTATCGGAAGCAAGCATCAGCGAGGCGTCATCATTGCGCCGTGGTGCCCAATTTAAGTTAATTGACGTTAAGTGTCTCTTTTGCAGAAAAGCGGGACAAACAAGCATCCTGCCGGGACAAGCGAGGGACCTCTGGACATGAAGTCTGAAATCCGGACTGTCTCGCCTAAATCGGGACATCTGGTCACCTTCACTTAATGATAATGATAATTTTTAAAAATTTCACAACACTGTGCTCTAAAGCAAATCTCTTTCTTACAAATGCTGAAAATTGTTTAACAAAATATGATTGAACACACTAATGCAAACTGTTTGCGTAGACGATATTTGCAGTGGCGGGAAATTTTTATTAAACTCCATATATTGGTACAAACTATTGTATTAAAATTATGCAAAATTCATAATACTTTGCTATGAATTTATCTGTTAAATATTTTTTATGCATAAAATGTAAAGTATAAAATATAGGAAAAAATAATTTTTGGATACCAATATATATATATATATATATAAAGACATAAAGTAAGAAATTTAGAACTATTATTTTACAAGGATCAGAAATTGAAATTTATAATTAATAAATTCAAACAATCATACAAATGCAACAAAGAATTAAAAAATTTTAAAGCCAAAATGTAGCCAATGGTACCTAATGGCTAATGGGAAAAACCTTGAATCTAAAAATGGGTTTTTTAAAAATTTTTTGCTTGCATCATTTAAAATTTGATTTTAAATTTGTTACTTTTCTCTCATCCCTTTCTGATTTAGAAGTTATCTCGTTTTGTAATTGTCACATTAAGTTTTTACAAGATAACTTTTACCTCTCATAGTTGTTTTTACATGGTGTAACTATTTTATTCTGGAACTACTGTATCAAATGTACTTTTAAGCAATCGCTTTTGAACTTTCATCTTCTTTGTAATTATATATATATAAGAAAAATACCTAAATTCAAATGTAGAATTAAGGTATTATTGCAAATTAAAGCTAGAATTTTGCTTTACATGCTTTTTATTGTACACATACACACATACAGACACGTATATGTATAAATTCATTTCAATAGAATTCTAACTACTTTTTCAAAGGAGATAATATATAAAATAATCTACTAGAAAATAAGATATTATTATATTACTTTGCAGCTTTAGCACAAATATTAGCAATTTGTTATAAAAATTATCTTGTTTACTTATGTATATATATATATATAAGAGAGAGAGAGAGATTTTCCTTTCTGTTATAAAAGTAGCAACTATTATAATAAATCTCTCTAAACTTAATCATTTCAAAATTAATCCACGTCATATAATTCTTGCATCAATAACAATTATGACAAAGGTACATATTTAAAAGCTTCATCCAGTAATGATTTCAATTTGGGAACCAAAGCTTTTTATTAATCAACAGGAATTAAATGTGAATCAAAACCAAAACTCTTTCAATTGAGCTCCCGTCTTAAGCACACTTCTATTTCTCACTTCTTGACTGCCAACTTATAGCTGCCTGCTGCTGTTTCTTTCTTCAATTGTAATTCAAGAATGTGGAAAGTTCATCAAGAACTGATGCTTACTGTGTCATTTATGCGTGTTGGTTTAAAAATTTGTTGTCAATGAGAATAAAAAAAAATTAAATTGTCCATGACTACAGCTACATTTTTATGCATCGTCAGTCATTTTTAATGTTCCAAGCTCTATCTTTTAATAAATCATGTTTTCTAATCTGTTGCAGCAGCATCATCTAAATAATTACATTATATCTAGACAGAAAGTAAGAAATTTAGATCCAGTTTTACACAAAGAGCCAAAAGAAATAGAAAGCATATTGTGATACTCTCTTTCTGTATATACAGTACAAAGTCTGAAATCCGGACTCTTCGGTACTTCGGGGATTCCGGATTTGGGATTAGATCATCAGTTTCAATCTAGTAAGATGGCATGTAGAAATCATAAAATTAAAAATATGAAATCTCGATTTACGAAATAATGAAGTATTTATGATCTAAAGGGTATCAAAATTTACAAAAAAAAAAAAAAAAAAAACTTAATATTTATTTGTTTACCTTATTAAACATTTCTTTCAATGTAAGTTAAGTTGCTACGTTTTTTGTGCTAATACTTTCTTTTCAATTCTGTAGACAGACTCAATCTCTTGTTCAGTTACATTGTTGAAGTCTTGTAACCGCTGTTTCAAGAATTCCAACTAACTTGTAATCGAAATTTTCTCGTTTTCAGTAACTGCTTTGTCACTTTATTCACTAACAGTAGAGGTATTTTATGGATTTAAAACCATACTACAAATTTAGCCATTCATTAATTGATTTTTGATTGAAAAGCATTGTCATCACTATGAAAAACAACTTTTATATCATCTTCATTTATTACCGCTTCTCCACATTTCTTTACAAAATTCATTAATTGGAAAATTTCACCTTTGTTTTGCGATATCCAAAAACCTTTAAAATTAGTGGCTATCATCATCAAATTTAGCTATCCTTCACTACCCATATTTGGTTATGCATCATGAGCTTGGCGACTAACAACAAGTTGTTCCGTTAAATTTTATCTTGCTTCTATCGCGCACTGAGACAATTAAGCCTGAATTGTGTTAGTTTAAGCATTATTATACTTATGTCCATTTCTTGCACATACTTTAGGCTTATCAGACTTCTGAATAAATAAATTCTCACATATACTTAAGCCTTATTGAGGGCCGGCGATAGATATCCTTACTGCTTGATGCAGTATCTGTGGGTCCTAATTCTGCGACTCGCTGTGGCCATACAAGCCCTGACGCTGATTCTGGACTTATGTGAATAACAAATTAGTAATTCTTAATTCAAATAGCCCTAAATGTAATCTTTGGGTTTATGAGTATCATCAACTAATGTATTTTTAGCATATGAAAAGAAATGTTCGATAAATTTTCCCTCGTGACCATTTTTTAGCGCATTTAACTTAAATCTGTAATTATCGCCAAGCGCAATGCAGCATAAAAGGTTACCATACTCCTTTATTATTCAATTACTAACATAAAAAAAAATTTAGGCATCACTACATGAGTCATTACTGAAGTTGTCATGTTTTGATAAACTTGCGGTAATGAAAAGAAAGTATAATAAATAATGATTCGCCAGGTTGGCGTCAGATCAACGATGTATCTATGTGGAATGTTTCGGTTTGAGATTTGTGCCAAGCAAATACACAGCAGCCAAATTACTGATCGTACAAATTTATGCTAAAATGATTGTTTCTTCAAGGTATTTTATTTAGTGTTGAAGTGAAATTAAGAATTGGGACTCTCCAGATGTTTTATTATGTGTGGAGGGGGAAATCAAATGCTCATGCATAAAGCCTACCAGAAAAACATTGTTAATGGTTTAGAGGTCTGGAATTTAGATCATTCCGGATAATGGACGTCCGGATTTCAGACTCTGTACTGTATATATGTTCACATCATGAAAAGAATAGAAAGTAGTTCAAAACCTAATCCATTAATGTGCTGATATTTGCATCTACTGCTGGTAATATTGTAAAATAAAGATAAAGTACTTGATTCCATTCCTATTTAACACAAAACAAACTACTGGAATTTAAAACAAGGAACAGTGAATAATCATATGAAAAGGAACAAAAACAGTGTATACCCAAAATGAAAAAAGTTACATCCTTCATGACATTCTTTCATTTGCTTTTTTTTTACACCAATCTGCTGAGAACAATGTAATGAAGTATAGTAATACCTTTTTTTCATTTTTGGTTTCATTGTTTTTGTACCATTTTGTGCAATTGTTCACTGCTTTGTATTTTTATTTCTAATGGTTTATTGTGTGTTGAATATGGGCTGGATTTAAATATTTTAATTTTATTTTACTATATAGTATATGCATATATATGAGGCTTTGCTTACTTATTCTGTAACTTTCATGCTTTATATATATATTTTTAAAATTTCATTGTAAGCTTGTTTCATACATCTTTATTCTTTATATGATCTTTTTCCAAAGTCCACTTTTTTCTGTTCATTTTCTAGCTCCAACATGGTTTTATTAACTTTGCTGTAACATTTTAAATGCAACTAATTTGATTTCTTACTTTAAAAAGAAAAAAAAAAAAAATTACGATGCAACACAAATATGTGGCACAAATACCTGTTTTCAGATATGAGGATTAACGAGGTCAGGAGGTAAGTTTATACCTATAAATAGAAAAGATTATCATGGTTCATTGTTTCTAATCAGAAATAACCAGGAGAAAAATATCAGTTCTTCAAGGTCATAAAAAATCGATACTTTTCAAGAATTGAAGCATCATGGCACCAAACAGTGAAAATAAAAATATAAAAAATTTGTTTGTCTCTCTCGAATATTAAGTTTGCCAAATTCTATGGTCTACTTTATTGTTTTATTGAACAAATTGTTTTTAAAGTTTTCTGAGTTAAACATAATTTTTCTCCTAATTCTTTGTATAAAATAGGAGGATTGGACTGTATGCTCCCGATGCGAAACTTATAGGCCTCCTAGAGCTCATCATTGTCGAATATGTCGACGTTGCATTCGCAGGATGGACCATCACTGCCCATGGTACATTTATAATAACTTCATGTGAAATAGAATTAAGATCTTTTTGCTTATATGGGTACTTATATATCAATGCAACCACCTTGGTACAGTTTGGTGATTTTATGTGGATGAAAAGGTAAAAGTTACTTATTCCGTGCAAGTTGGTTGTGTTTGGTGGTAAGTTCAATAATGCTTATTAAATAGTCTACCTGGAATTTTTATAGACTTATAGTTGTCTGCAAGCACTTGTATTTTTATAAAATAAATAAGATTTAGATTTGTATATGCACTAGTATAATTTTTACATGCATACATTTTCATTGTATACTGAATTCTTCAGTTGTTTGGTTTCACATCTCCTGCCAGAAAGAAAAAGAAAGAAAAAAAAATTAAATATATGCATAATAGTAAACATTTGGAACAAAGACAGTGTCACCTATAGAGAATGATGAAATAAGACATAAAAATATTTTGAAACTTAACATTTATTTCAACAGCTTGAATCACTCCATCCTTTCAAGGAAAATCTTCTGTATTTCTTGAAAGAGTCCATTTCAAAGGAAGAAGAGAATCCTCCTTGAGATACACCAAGCCGTTCACTTGAAAATTCCTTTCACACAAAGTCCACTTTTCTCGTAGTTGCAGTTGACGTAATACAGTCAAAGTCTTTAATCTGGAATGATCTGTAATCTGGACCTCAAAGCTACAAACTTTCTGCGTATGCGTAAATGCATAATGCGCTTATGCATGCACATAATATGTTTACGCATGCGTGTAACAGTATAACAGACGGTATAAGCTAAGGTAACGTATAATTAACGTATAGCAGACGGTATAAGCTAAGCTAACGTATAATTAATGTATAACAGAAGGTATAAGCTAAGCTAAAATTATCTAATTATCTATTTTAGTTAATGTTGCAGATTGCATTGTTCCTTAATCTTCTAATTGGCTTATTATTTTTTGCAGACTGTTAGAGCAATTTTATAAAAGTAAGCTTGAACTTTCGAATATGTCAAAAAGAATTTCCGATTCTGGAGCTGCCAAAGGATCTACAAAGTGAAAGCATGTTTCGATGTCCATCAAACAAAAAGTGGAATTGCTGCAAAAAATGGATAAACGCATATCCTTTGTTTCTCTAACCATTCCGAAATCTGTTTATCAATTTCACGCTGCTCGCTGCTTTGCGGAGGGGGGGGGGGAAGACGTCGCAGCATGCAATGAACTGGAAGTTGATTTGTCATCACTATCCTTATCTTCAGGGCAGATGTTTTTATTTTATTCAGCTTATAATTCTTTACTAAATGTAGCATTTCATCTCGATGTACTCCGTCTTTGATATGTTTTAAATCAAATTCCTTGTCATTTTAAATATCACAAATACACATCAAATAGTTTTCTGGTTGCGATTTTCTAATTTCGACTATGCGTAATGTATGCTTTACGCATGCATGTGTTGAAAAAAATGTTTAATAAAGTAAACAAATAAATATTAAGTTTTTTTTTTTTTTTTTTTTTAAATTTTGATACTCTTTAGATCATAATTGCCATTTATTTCATAAATTATGATTTCATATTTTTAATTTTATAATTTCTGCATGCCATCTTACCAGATTTAAACTGATGATCTATAATCCAGAAAAACCAATAATCCGGAATCCTCGAAGTCCTGATGAGTCCGGATTAAAGACTTTTAACTGTATTATTTTTTCCATGTTGACCAAACTGATTACAAAGCTTCTGAATTGGATGTCATTTTGACTTTGAAATACACAATGATCTGTTTTTGCTTAAAAAAGTATAAGAGAATTACAAAGACTCCGCATCATGCGAACCTTGGTCAAACCGCCTTTTTACCAAATGTATCTCCTCAATGTTTCCTTTAGAGATTTTGCAGCAAAATTCTGTATTCCTGTAGAAATTTTATTACAGTTTCTTTCACTGTTATCAAATTATATTGTACAATTGCGTATTTTAAAATCAAGTTTAAGGCAAACACTATCACTATTTGTGTATACACACCGTTAGAATTTGGAATACAGCAAAGAGAACGCATAGGAAAATGGCAACATTGCTTGAGTAAAGGATTCTAAAAATTTGGTTATTTATACTGAGGTGGTTGCAGTAACATGTGAGTACTTATATATATTTGTTCCTAAAAGTTAAAAAAATGTGCATTAATTTGTTGCTGAATCATGAAGAAAGTCTGTTGATATCTCTGTTGGATTTCAGATGACATGTAGTCTTGTATTTTAAACGTATATTCATTTTATTCTATTTATGTAATCTTTTTTCAACCCTTTATTGTTAGTTTTCTTCTTGAAGTGGCAGCAGAAGCAACTTTTAGAATGTGCTAAAAATATGTGTTAACACACAAATAGGTTTATTAAAAATTTTTTTATTTAAGAACTAAACTTATTTTCAGGCATAACTGATACTTTAGAATATGTTTAGCCACTAGCATATGTAATGCGCTGGTAGTATAATAGTTTATTTTGATGTGTAAGTGAATATGTTCTGGTGCACTGTATGTGAATATGTTGTGTATTCTCACCCGGAGATAACAGGCATTTGGTTAAAGTGACCACATGTTCCGATTTTGGCGGGGCCGTTCCGCCTTTTGGAGGACTGTCCCGCATCTCGCCAATTTTTAAAAATGTCCTGCTTTTTAGAAAACATCTGAATTTCTTATTTTAAATATACTGTAAAAGTATATTACCTATTATTTATTAATTTTTATAGTAAATGTAAAGAAATAAAAAAATACATAAATAAAAAAACACATAAAATGGATGCAGAGTAAACTAAATTAGGCGATGTAAACGAGTTAGATTTACTTGGTGGTGTTTTATCATTTTCATTACATCTCGTCAAGGAATATATGTATTGTTAACGGAGGAACAGCTAGCATTAGCTGAAGGGCTATTTGCTTTCCACACCATAAACAGATCAATTAATTGTATGTCGCAAATGATCAAAACATTGTACGACAAAAATTTTGCATTGACAAGGACAAAAGTCAAAGCAGTTATTTGTAATGCTTTTCACTATATTCGTTTTCACAATTGAAGAAAGAATTAGATAAATGCACATTTATATCCATATATTATGATAGTTCCAAACACAAAGATTTAAAATTATTTCCCACAATTGTTAGACTTTTTGATCCAAAAACAGGAATTAAACTTAGAATATTAGATTTTGTTTCATTGCTAGGTGAAACTTCATAAATAATTTTTGATTCAATCAGTATTATTTTAAATTGAGTAATTTGAACAATAAAATTATTGCCTATTATGAGGATAACACTAAATCAAATTTTGGTGGAAAAGCTAGAAGAGGCATCAATAACATTTTTACTAAATTTAATGAACATTTGAACAAAATAATTATTGGAGTAGGTTATGCAGTTGTGCAGCACTCATTCTATAAAGTACTATTCAAACAGCATCTGACTTACTTCCAGTGACTCTGAAAATATTATTGCAAAAAAATTTATTCATATTTATATATATATACTGTATGTGTTGAAAGTCTGAAGGATTTTTGTGAAAGTGCAGAAATCGAATATAAAAGAATTATTGGTCACAGCAAAACACAATGGCTAGCTCTTTTACCAGCTGTAGAAAATATTTTTAAAATATACGAAACACTAAAATCATACTTTTTATGACAAGATAAATGTCCAAGAATATTGCAGCTCTTTTTTGAAAATGACACATCACAAATTTGGCTTTAGTTCATCCACAACCAAGCTACATTATTTCACAGTGCTATGAAAATTATTGAAGGGTGACAAAATTTCAATTACGGAAGTGTCAAATGAAATCGATAATTAAAAAACAAAATTGCATGAATTCTTGGACATTTATCTTGTCACAAAAAGTATGATTTTAATGTTTCGTATATTTTAAAAATATTTTCTACAGCTGGTAAAAGAGCTAGCCATTGTGTTTTGCTGTGACCAATAATTCTTTTATATTCGATTTCTGCACTTTCACAAAAATCCTTCAGACTTTCAACACATACAGTATATATATATAAATATGAATAAATTTTTGCAATAATATTTTCAAGATTCACTGGAAGTAAGTCAGATGCTGTTTGAATAGTACTTTATAGAATGAGTACTGCACAACTGCATAACCTACTCCAATAATTATTTTGTTCAAATGTTCATTAAATTTAGTAAAAATGTTATTGGTGCCTCTTCTAGCTTTTCCACCAAAATTTGATTTAGTGTTATCCTCATAATAGGCAATAATTTTATTGTTCAAATTACTCAATTTAAAATAATACTGATTGAATCAAAAATTATTTATGAAGTTTCACCTAGCAATGAAACAAAATCTAATATTCTAAGTTTAATTCCTGTTTTTGGATCAAAAAGTCTAACAATTGTGGGAAATAATTTTAAATCTTTGTGTTTGGAACTATCATAATATATGGATATAAATGTGCATTTATCTAATTCTTTCTTCAATTGTGAAAACGAATATAGTGAAAAAGCATTACAAATAACTGCTTTGACTTTTGTCCTTGTCAATGCAAAATTTTTGTCATACAAATGTTTTGTTCATGAAAGAATTGATAATGATTATGTTCCTTTAGTTATTCGAAAGGTCGTCACTAGTTTGGAAGAACAATGTGCCATTAAACGGCCTGATTTTCTGAAAGAAGTCAGAAATTTTTATAATAACTGCTTGGAATATCTTGAAGAACGGACAGTTCAATTCGAGGGTATTAAACATTTTCATTGGGTGACATAAAAAAAGGGAGATTTTATGGAAATATGTGGGAAAATCTTTTTAATATATTAGTAACCATTTTCCGAAAAGTAATATTTGCGAAAATGATCTTTTTGATGAGGTGTCATTGGTAGAAAGATATGTTACTGAAGAAAAAATTAAATATTGGTTGCCTGCAAATGTGGAAACACACAAAAAATGACAGAGTTATTCCTTCATTTTAAACAGAATAATATTCCTTATGAAAATATTTTGAAAATTGTAGAACAGGCA